TTTACTTCAATTTACGATTTGAACTGTGTAGTGAATTACCGTAAGAGAGTATTCAAGGATGAAGCGAAAATGCGGGCATGTTGTTAGCGTGACTATTTTGTTTAATCTTTTAATTTTAATTTGAAGTATTTGACTTTATATTAACTTTTATTATTTTTTGGGCATTTTATTTATTAATTACTAGTTACCTTTCAAAATAGCATTCTTTTTGTGCACCCTTCGATTATTATACTTTAATAAAAATAATGATATAATACAGTAGAGAGGGTTAAATAAGGTACATTTCAACCCGTCAGATAATGTCGTATGGAGGTTTCATCCGTTAATGACTCTGTCAGATTTTTTACAGGTAGAATTGAAATAATAATAATAATAATAAACAAAAACAAAATATGAAATATTATAATGTGAGATATAACTGATTAATTACCAGCTCTCCATAAGCACTCGCCAGCTGCATGGCCAGCAGGCAGCCTTCCTCCTCCTCCTCGCCGGAGATCCGGTCCGCCGTCTTTGAGGCTCCGAGATTTTCGATCGCCGGCGACTGCATCTTTTTTTNATTTTAAATTATCTTTTGTTTTTGGTTTGTGGTGTGTGTTGTGGATAGGGGTGAGCATGGGTCGGTACGGTTCGGAAATTGATGAATCTCCAGAACCGAACCGAAGTTCGGAAATCACTAAAATTCGATCTCCAGAACCGTACCAAAAAATCGGTTCGGTCCGGTTCGGAGATTTTTATTTTTCGGTTCGGTTCGGTTCGGTTTTCGGGGCTATCGAAACGGTTTGGTTCGGTTCGGATATTCGGAGATTTCTTATCATTTTTTAAATTTTTTTGAATGACCACCTAGTTATATTTTATTTTTTATATGTTTTTTTTAAATCCAACATTCATCAATACTTCATCATACTAATGATTTTATTTTTAAATCAACTTTAGAAGTAACCCTAAATTTTAGTTAAGACTAAAATTCTACTAACCTTGAAAATTTAAATTCAAACAAAATATAATACAATTTTATATTAAAGTAATAATGATTTTACCTTCCATACCCTGTTAGTTATAAGATAAACTAAGGGTAAATATACAACTTTAAGTAAAGCTTATTTTTTTAAAAAAATCTTTAACCTTTCATTCCATTTATTTTTCTAAACATGAGAAATTCAATTGTAGATCAAGTATTACTAAACATGAAATGTAAGTAAATCTTAGTTGTTATTACTATATTTTATTTGCATTTTAAAAATTCTCAAATTATATAGGATCAAAGTTGACATAAAATATATTAATAACACGCATCTATTTTTATAATTCGGTTCTTAATTTCGGTTCTTCGGTTCGGTACGGTACAGGACGGTTCGGTTCGGTTCTCGGTACGGATATTTATGAAATCTCCAGAACCGTACCAATTATTTTTTCGGTTCGGTTCGGTTCGGAGAAAGTCAAACGGTCAACGGATATTTTTCGGTTCGGAGTGATTTCGGTTCGGTTTTCGGTACGGTTCGGAATTCTCCGAGTCCCATGCTCAGCCCTAGTTATGGAGAGTGTGAGCGTGGGTTTTTAACTTTTTATGCTATTTTTAAGCTCACCGACAAAGTCCTAGGAAGTGTGGGTCCCACCTCTGGTCAATAGTTAGAACATCTCCAATTATATGTGGATTGTTCAATTTTGTTACCACAACACAAAAGAAAAATCTACGTGGCAGAAACAAATTCTAGAAGTGTTTGTAGATGTAATCCCGTACAAGTACTTCTGTACCAACTTATATTATATATTATATTATTTATTTAATTTTTCTCTCTTATCAAACTAATTATTATTTTACACATGTCAAATTAAACCATCTTTAATATTAACTATTGAAAACATAATTTCTTAATCTCATTTCTTCAGTTTAGCCCGAGTGAGAGCGGGTATTATCCCATTGGATCGTTTTGTGTTTACTCTCTTTTTGGGAGCTTTGTAGTTTTTATTAGTGTTTGTAGTGTCAGTTGTGTCGTGAGTTTTGTGTCTTGGTTACTAGCGTTGCTAGTGACGGTTCTAGGCGGTCTTCGGATTTGTGCTCCCAGTCTATTCAGTTTTTTGTAGTATTATTCAGCTAGGGGTTGTATCTTTCCACATTTGTGCATTTTTATCTATAAAATTCTCTATCGTTTCAGGAAAAAAAAAATCTCATTTATTCATGTCATCCAACAGAAAATGAATAATATGCCATTGGAGATGCTCTTACTGTAGTGTGTGTGGTGCAGTGTTGGTTAACAAAATTTGATTGGTACAGACCACTGTTTAAATAGCTCGCTATGTAGCTTTTTTTTTCAAAAAACGCGACGTAGCGTTATTTATTTAGCATTTTTCCCGAAAAGTTTAAGCGAAATGTTGAAATGACACATTTTTTTAAGCTATTTTGCGTTATTTCACGCTATTGTGCACGACATTGCGCTATATTTATGCAACGGCATTTAAAGAATAAAATATTCTAAAATCGTATAGGGATTAGAGTCATATTTTCAAATGACAACTAAAAACTAATCTTTTGATAGTGATTTTAAATTAAAAGTTTGAAATGCAAAGTCCTAAGTTGAATAATATTTATCGGTCCATTTCCATTATATCATTTTAATTTCGATATTTAATATTTAAATAAAGAATATAAAGTTCATATATAGTGCTACAAGATTAATAATCATTATTAGTGACACTAATTTTAGTGAAGACATTATGTCATGACTATAAAATGATTATTGTGACGACATTGGAACATATAGCGATAAAAATTTTCGCCACTAAAAATGATTATTCTTGTAGGGATTAGAAAATAAAAATAATTATTAAAATACATATACTTAAAATTAAACTATAACTTACCTCATTATATTTTTATTGTTTGTTTTTACTTTTTAGTACATTCACTTTATTATTTAAATATTTATTATTATATCTACATTTAATATTTGTGAAAAATAATTCTTAGATATTATTTTTTAATTCATTCAAATATTATTATAAATTTTAGAATCAACCATCCACACACTTTTATTATATGCAAATATATTTATAATATGTCTATAAAAATAATTTTTATACTTAAATAGTTTACAAAATATGCAATATTATTTAAGCTACACAGTATAAAAACCAAAACGCGACGCATTACGAGTTTTAAAACACTAGTACGGACCCAAACACGTTAGAGCCATTTACTAATGGGCCATGCATTTAGTTTTCATGTTTGTTAATGGACCATGCATTTCTTTTTGATGTGGGCCAGCTAGAATACAAAAATGCACGTTTTAATCAATTCGTGTCTTTTTCTGAGCAAAAGTTCACACCTACCACATGGATACTAGCCGTGGATTACGAAATCAACGGCCAAAATCGATTCACGAGTTTATCCCTTATGTGATTGCTAGTATTATTATGTACCGACAGAATTTTAAAGGAAATTTTTTTTTTGACTTTTCACATACAATAAAACTTCTATACATTAATAAAGTTAGGACAGGAAAATTTTATTAATTTATAGAGATATTATTATATTGATAAATTAATAATTTATTAATTTAAAAAAGTTTTAACGTATATACACAGTTAATTTTTAAAATTTCAAATTCTTCGAATAACTTTAAGTATACATGCATAGTTATTGATGAAAATTAAGTTAAAATACAAATATATTAATAGAATTTCATGAACACAAACTCACGTGAAAGTTGAAATGACTTGTTTAAATTAATTGGTTTTGGAAAATACAAAAATATGAGATCAACATAGATTTGAAGTTCAAGAAAAAACAAGTTACAGTAGATTCTTATTTTACTAAGTTGTCTTACGAATCTTCAAGTGCATCATATATATATATGGATTAATTTTAATAGTTATTAATTTATAGTTTCATCGGAACCAATATATATGCACTGGGATCTCAAAAAAATTATTATCTTATAATTTTATTGATTGGGTCTCAAATTTTTACAGGTCCCAACTTAAGACCGGACAAATTATTAATTTTAGCGAGGTTATTAATTTATCGAGTATTAATATAACGAGGCTTTACTATATGTGAATTTTTAGATTTCGTCTTATTTCTATTTTTTTGGCAGACGCATATTGGATTCCGATAATTTGACTCTATATTAATTACATTGACATTACAGTTTNTCAATGACAATAAAAATTGAAACCATTTTTAAAATTGAATTAAGGCTTTTGAAACTTAATAGTACGAATCCCGTAAGGTGTACGGGTAAGATACATTCATTAATGTTTGTAAATTAAATGATCATTAAATAGTATCTATAAATTAAATATGGAAGCAATATGTAATACAATTTACCTATATTAATTTATTTAAAACATTATGTGAAATTTAAATTGTGCAGCATTACATAAAACATGTCTATTTAAAATTGTATACAACCCGTACGGTGCACATAACTGATAATAAATTTTATTATATTTATTTCAAAATAAGTGTCATTTTAAAATTTTTATTTTGCAATTCTACTTGAATACAATGTGGTTCCATAAAATAATTATTTTGGTAGAATATTATCGTATATTTAAAAAATCTATGTGAATAATCACGAATGTAATATATGTGTTGTCTCTGATTGTAATAATTCATAGTGATTGTAGCATAGAAACAAATTTTAGTATATTAGATAAATTTGATTTTTGTGATTTTATTTATTTTTGTCAACAAATAATTTATAAACCTTTTCAACAATATCAATAACGTGTTAAATGGATCCTACCCTTAAATAACCGCTAATCTAATCAATGTGTTGCTTAAAATTTCAGATTTTAATAGTTCCTAATATAATTCTGGATTTTAATAATTCTTACTTAATCAATGTGTATTATGATGTAATTATTTCCTTAAATAGTGAGCTGCAATTTCCATAAGTGATTATTTGAAATATATCATAAATTGTTAAATTAATTCTGAAAATAGTAAATAGATTTTTTGAGGGAAATAGTTACTATTTAAAAAATAATCAAACATATATATATACATATATATATAGCTAGCTAGTAAGCTATATTTTATCATTCTTGAAAATTAATGCGCTGCTAATCGATTGATGAAGAGGTAGGTGCATGTGTGTATAGAAAAATAAGTTCGGTATTTTTTATAATCAAGATATTCGATTTTCGACTTGGAGGTGTCATTTGAAAGTTTGCAACGAAGTAAATCTTATAAAATCCAGCACTAAAATTTGGTTAGCAGCCTAAAAGAAAGTTGTATATTTTTAATTTGTTTGAATGCTAAAAAGATTTCAATTAGTTATTTTTAATAAGATTTACTTCATTAAAAAAATTATTTGCACTCATTTTTTAAAGAGTAATGCTACATTGTCAATCTAGTATACAACTAGGTTGACAACACAAGTGAAAACATTCAAAAAATGAAAATAAAAAAATACACAAGTATATGTTTTCACTTGTGTTATCAACGCAGATGTACACTAAGTTGGTAATATAGCAATTTTCTTTTTTAAATACCTTAAGCGATATTTAAAGAAAAATAAATCTATACTTATATTAAACGGTATATCATTTACCAGATTTAGTATAAAGAAAAGTCAACAACATTTATTGCATTACTATTTCCGTATTATACAATCTATACTTATATAAAAGGAGATTCTATTTCCTATATTTACTATCCAGAAAAGTCAACTTCATTAAATGCCATTACTATATTGGTATTATAATATTTTATTTATTTAATTGATTTATTTATTTGTTTTATTTTTAAAAGGTAAGTATAACAAAAATATTTTAATAATAAAAAAATCAAATACCAAATAAAAATGTACACTTTGACTTATTTGATTATATTTGGTATTTGATTATACCAAATATATTCCTATTTAGTATATATACATTAAATACTTACTAAAGTATTTATTTGTTTTATTTGTCAAAGTTAAGTATAGATTTGTTTATATTATCAAATCATAAAAAAATATTAAATCCATATTGTAAAAAAAAAAATCATATAATTTTATAACAATTCTACTACACTATTTAACAATATTTTTTTTATTACATAATAAAATAATAATTAAATATTATATGGTGAACAACAATAAGTAAAACTATTACTTTCTCTTATATCAAGGGATAAATTTATATGCTAAAATTAAATTTTTATTAATATAAATATTTTAGTGAGATAATATATTAATTATTTTACAAGCTAGCACTAACATGCTCATATTTAATGTTTTAAAAAATGTAAAAAAAAACTTATAATAACTCTATTGTTTTTTAGACTTAAACGTTGATTAAAAGAGGTAAAAATTTCTAATTTTTTAGAGTTAAACGTTGATTAACACCATATATTGAGAGTTTATATTTAGTAAAATTCCTAATTGTAATAAATAAATTAATTTTTCCTATATTTTAGAGTATCTTTAAATTCATTATAAAAAAAGAGAAAAAACTACAATGAAAAAGCAAGTCAGTTATATATCAATTTGTTGTACTCCTCAAATCACATTCACAATTTGGCTACAAGGAAAGGAAACTCATGATCTAAAATATTATTTTGTTAGTAGTCTTAATGCACAAGAGACTTTAAGACTCCACTTGAATATTATAAAACTTTTATTGAACATAGTACAATTTTCTTGCGTATTATAAACTTTTCTTGAATATTGCATCTTATAATATAATATTCTCCAAATAAATATATCTCGTGTTTTGCACGGTCACGTACTATATATATCCCGTACATTTTTCTTTATTCATGTATATAATTATAAGCCTGAATAAATAACCTTAAAATTGTGCACCCCGTGCATCGCACGGCTCTGTACTAGTAAATAAAATAACCAGCGATTCATCATTTGCACCCATTTTAATGATGTGGGCTGGACATTGCTTCACCATCTACTATCCGGCCTATATCTAAACAACCCACCGTCAATTAGGGAAAAAAGCCCAAAAGAGCGTCAAGGGCTTGGCCCATGAAGAGGTTGTAATCGTCACCTCCTCCTCCTGCCCTCGCCCGTTTGCCTCACAATCAAAATCAAAATTTGAAAAATCACCCAAATTCAAAGTTCCAATTTTGAATTTCTACTCTGTATAATGGTGAAAAACCCTTCGTCTTCCAGGGTTTTACCCAGTAATAAATCCTCAAAATCGGCGGTCAATGGTGCTAGAAAGAAGAAGAAACCACGGAGGAAGGTCGCTTCAATGGCGGAAAAAGAAATCAAAGTGATTGATATCGACGATTCGTACCCTTCACCCGACCGTTGGGTGACGCCTTTGAGATCCGTTTTCTGTCTGAAGAACAGGGATCAGATAAAGCGGGCCGAAGAGAATGAGGAGTGTTTCATCCTCGAGTTCGATCCATACGATGATATGGAGGGGCTAAGGTCCCCATTGTTAAAGGGTTCTGATGATGCCGAGGCTGATTTGCTGGTGGTGGCTGAAAAGGGGCAGGTGATTGGTTGAAGCTTTCTGTTTTTTGAACATCTTTTTGTTTTCGTTAATTGACTTTTATTCTGTGTGTTGTTATTTGTCAAGGTTCAGTAATCACTTTTACTAAAATGCTGATAGATTTGCTTCTATACATTATGAATTTTGCTAAAGATTCTTCTTTTGATTGTTTGTGTTTTTGGCCTTTAGATTTTGAGGAAAATGGAGTCTCTTAGTTTCATTTCTTGATTATGGTCCTTGTGATAAATGTCTGCACTTGATATATCACTCATTTTGATATAATATACAACAGCTGACCAAGTAAATTTACTTGTTTAACTTGTTTGTGCTGAGAATGCTGTATTTCTCATAAATTAAAGTGTTTAATTTGGAGACTTCACATTTGTTATGTTAATCTGGTTTCATGTTTTCAGCAGAATAAAAAGTACAATTCTATGTCTTCAAGGTTTCTTTCTATTTATTAATTATGTCATGGTCTGGCCTTAAAACGTAAGACTTAATCGTCTTTCGGACCTTTAGCTTCTTTTGTACGTATATTTGTTGCAATGACTTCTATGAAAGCTATGGGCTTTGAGACATTAAATAGTCATTTTCTATCTTCTCTGTGTAGTTGAATTATATTGATAGTGACTAATTCTTCTTTTTTGGCTTCTAACCCGTTATGTAGGTAGCTTGCAGAGATTATCCTCATTCACGACACAACTGTGCGAAACATCCTTTTGAAACGACTACTCATGAGAGTCACTGTGAAATGGTAAATCATGTGCATATATATAGCTAAGGTTCCTTTTGTTTTTACATATTTTGAATAGCTATCGTTTTAAGGTACTGATTTTTTATGAGTTATTCGGTCATTTGTGCAGTGTTTCTGTTATGTTTGCGATTTATCTGCTCCATGTTCGAAGTGGGTCGGATCCCATTGCCATGCGTTTAACAACGAGGCTTGGAACCAAGAAAAGAAAGCAAGGAAGCAAAGAATGAAAGACTGTACATAAACATGGTGATGATATAAATGGAGACAAAGCAAAATCGGGACAATAAAATAATTTAATCCGTGCTTGATTGGAGATTTCTTTTGGCGATGCCTTAATATGTATTAGTATGTAAATTCCTGTGGGGCCCGCCCGACTGTTTTGCAAAGTCGTGAGATAAGAGAATTGTGGCGGGTTTGTGAATTTGCGATCGGTTGTTTTGGGGTGATGAATATGGATTTTAGTTTGCATGCATTTATTTTGCTTTAGATGTATGAAGGAACCTGGGGAAAATGGTGAAATGTATTAAGCAAATTTTTTTCTTTGAATTAGGTTATCTTGTTTATTTCTTGTGTGTGTATATGATTTTGTTTGTTTTGTCTGAGATTGTTTATGTGGACAAAAGGCAATCATATATTGTTTTGAGGACAATGCAGACAATTTGAATAAGATACAGCTATTTGCTTGCTTGATCCTTTAGGTTGTCTTGACCATAATATTAAATAACAAATTGAAAATGCCCTCCTATCCACCGTACAACTGCTCGTACTAACAAATTGACTAGCATTTTAACATTCCAATTAGACTTGGAAACAATTCGAGAGTTTGAGCTTGGGGTGTTCGAGCTTGAACTCAAGCTCTTAACGAGCCGAGCTGAACTTGGTTTATTAAATGAACGAGTCTGAAATCGATTTCAGGCTTGGCTCGTTTAGCACTAATAACAAGTCGAGTTTTTAACGAGCCGAACTCTAGAAAATTATATAAAAATTATCTTTTTGAGCCTTAACGAGTCTTATCGAGACGAGCCGTACTCAACTCGTTAACCAAACGAGCTTTAAATGAGCTTGAGCTCGGTTCGTTTATCAAACAAGTTGATTCGAACTCCAGCGTTAACGAACCAAATTTAACAGCAATAATTTCAATTATAGCAAAAAGAGACAACCAATATATCAAAAGTGAAAACAAAAATGACATAAAAAACAAATTGTTTCAAAAGCTTTAAGAAAAAAGAATGCAGGCAAATTTATGATACCACTATACATGAAAAAAAAGGAAGCAATATTTGGGATGGGTTATTTATTTATTTGTTTTTTTTTTTTAATTTTCTCAATTGAAATGGGCCATTAATTAAAGACAGTTGATATTAAACGCAGCAGCCAAAACATTTGGGCCGCAACCTTAATCTGAACCCTAGAAATAAAATCTTATATTCCTATCGACTCATTTCTTCTCCCACTCAATCTTCAGCTACTCATCACAGTCTCTGTCTCTCTCTCCTCCCTTTAACTCATCTTTGAAGCAGCCGCCATGCCAGGTCCCGTTATCGAAGAAATTGAAACTCAGACAAAGCTTAAGGTGTGCTCTTTCTAGATTATTCCTCAAATTTCCCTATGTTTTGGTGTGTATTTTAGGGTTTAGTTTGTTCTGAAACATTTTTGCGTTTGTTTTGTGGGCCAAGGATGAGCCCTTGGTGGAGGACGTGAAGGAAGATGAAGAGCATGATGACGGCGCTGCCGATGATTCCGATGAAGAAGATGACGGCGTTCCAGGTCTGTCTGTCCGCCTCTCTGTTCTTTACCTTTTTTTTTCCTGCCGGTCTTTATTTGGTACTGTTTTTTTTTTCTCTTCTGTCCATTGTTCGTTTCGGTTTGGTGGTAATTATGGTGGATTAAGTAACGTTTACATGTTATCCCACTGTTTCCTGATTCTCTCTGTGTATTATCACTTGAGCCATTGGAAGAACTGCTATAGTGAAGAAAGTATTCTATGTTTGTGTTCATATCAATAGCTGAAAGGTAGATTACGGTTTAGAAATTACATTTCTAATTTGTTTGTTCAATTTAATCATTTATGCTTGGTAATTGTGAAAGTGTTGTATAAGAGATATAAATGCTTATCAATTCAGCAAATTGCGCTTTTGCTATGTCGGATTTTCTGGAGTAATAGTGCCTGATGAAAATGCAGCTCAATTATCACTTATCAGTATTAGTTGGCCTCGTGTGAAGGGAAAAATGAACAGATCATAATGTATAGGAGTATGGCTGCTTGATATGTAGTAATTAACTGATATTAGAGCAGTTTTACTAGCACCATCAATTACTCCTGGTGCACACTTTTGTTACATTGTGTCGTGTGCACTCCCGAAAATTTCGGCCGTGGTGTTTTTTTTTTTTAACAAACTTATTGGCTAGTGTCTTAACTTTGCTTACTTGTTCTGTTTAAAAAAATGAAACAGGGGCAAATGATGGTTCCAAACAAAGCCGAAGTGAAAAGAAGAGCCGTAAGGCCATGTTGAAGCTCGGGATGAAGCCTGTCACTGGCGTCAGTCGGGTCACCATCAAGCGAACCAAAAACGTAAGTATTCATTCAAGAAAAAAGAAATTAAAACACTTTCTGCTTCTGGTAATAAAGTGCTCAGTAATTTTTTTTTATTGGGGTGCAGATGCTCTTTTTCATCTCGAAGCCCGACGTGTTCAAGAGCCCAAACTCTGACACATATATCATATTTGGGGAGGCCAAGCTCGAGGACCTGAGCTCCCAGCTCCAGACACAGGCGGCCCAGCAGTTCAGGGCGCCTGATGTGGGCCTTGCCGGGCCCAAGCCCGATGGCCTTACATTGTCTGGGGCCCATGAGGAGGAGGAGGAAGTTGATGAGGAGGTTGACGAGTCCGGTGTGGAGCCAAGGGACATCGACCTTGTGATGACACAGGCTGGCGTGTCGAGGTCAAAGGCGGTCAAAGCCCTCAAGACCAACTCAGGGGACATTGTGAGTGCCATCATGGAGCTCACCACCTAAGGAAGAAAAAAATAGGTGAAATAAAATACATGGATTTTATGATTCTTGGTGTTTTTTCTTGGATGGTGGTAATTTTCTTGGGTAGTTATGTTCCGCTGTTTTTGCATTAGTGTTTGGTTCCGACCTCTTTGATTTCACTCGGTCAAAACTTGAAATGCAGTAACCTCGGTTGAGAATTAGCTATGGAATGGCTAATCCGTAGCTACTTTCTTTTTTCCAATGGATGAATTGAAAATTATTTCTGTTTGTTCGCCGGAGGGCCGGTTTGTTTGTTAATTTTACTAGTTACGACTTACGAGAACTATATTAAGTCCACATTCGCCTCTCATTTCCCACGTGCCATTAGTGGTCACCTGAACAAAAATTGACATTTGCTACCCATAAAAAGTTCAGGTTTTGGATTAATTTTATATTGCTACTTAACAGTTTAACACATCGTGCTTGGTATTTCTCTGCATACTGGTACACACCCACATAAAACAGAAAAAGAAAGGTCAAACTCTATATAAATCCTTATTCAACCCATACTTGATTTGCTTAGCGGCCGTTGATCTTTGCGCAGTTAGTCGAATCTCCCCATTTTTATCAGTTAACACTTGAATATTCCCCATTGCTAATATTGCGTCTATGAAAGCCCTTCTATTGCCACCCGTCCGTTTATTGAGTGTGTTGAATATGTACCTCGATTCCTTAGTCTCCAACAGGGCTTGGTTTGAAGTGAGCAAGCCACAGGACTGCAGTGAAATAATCGTTGTCAAATTTTGTCGGGTTTTGAGTCATGTCTACCACTTGATCTGCGCTCGACTTTGGTGGACACTGTTTTTTGAGGTATTCTGCAAATGTTCAATTCAGAGACGGGTCTTGTTTCGGCTGAGTGTGTGCGCAGTTGAAAAAGAAGTATAATATTATCACGTGTATATATATATATATATGTATATATATATATAGGGATTGGTTCCAATGCATCTACTTATTTAAAGTGAGGACGTGAGACTCATTTTTAGCCACAAGATTTGGTACATCATGTGTGGCCAAGATTTATTTTTTTCTTTTTATTATTTTAATTATTTAAATATTATTTTGACCTGTTGACTTCTGGCGAAATATGTTGACTTCCGGCGTTGACCGTTGATTTTTGGCATTGACTCCGACGTTGACCATTGACAACTAACCTAGGTTAGTTTTATGTAGTTGCTAGGTTAGTTGTCTCCAAATTAGCTTATCATCATGTAAAGCTTCAATCAACCCCAATATCTCCAAATAAATTTAAAATCATTCACTTCAAGGCCTATCAATAAAAGGCTCAAGGCTTAAACAGGCCACTAAGGATAAAATCTTAAGAAAAATAAAACAAGATGAAACGGGCTACATACCAAAAACTACCTAAATCATTTTCAAAACTTCACGTACACAATCATATTTTTCAAGTAAAAACTAATGCAAGTTCTAGTATCCCAATTATTTGACTAATCACACAAGAAATAAAATAAGGCTCAAATCCTCTCAAGGAAACAAAAAAACCATTGATTCAAAGTAGTCAAGCAATTCATCACGGCATATAATTCATGATTACAATCACAATATCTTAATTAATATAAGCAACTTTAAACAATTCTCGTCTATCCACCAATCATCTAAAACGCATACAAGACAAAGCAATATATTCGACTCAACCAAATAATCACTAATCTAAGAAACCAAATAAACATGCATCCTAAAAAATATAAAAATAACTTAAAAGAAAAATTATAAAATTAAAAACTAATGCAAGCAACTATATGATATGCACTATATCAATAAAAACTCAAGATATACAACACCTCTCTCCCTCAAACTTATTCTTTGGAAAAGAATTAAGTTCGAAGAAAATAAATGGCATATCTCAAGTAACTAACCAAAAAGTCAAGCGAGCTCCACCATAAGCAATCCTTGCACCTTTGAACGCCCATCTCCTCCCTGCTTCGCTCGAACACTCGATCGCCACCATTTTTTTTCTTTTTTGATTTTTTTTTATTTTCTTTTCTTTTTCTAGATTTTTTTCTTAAAATAATAATAATAAAATAAAAAAAATGAAAATACAAATAAAATAAAAAATAAAAAATAAAAATAAAAATAAAAGCGATAAATGATGGATTGCCTCCCACCAAACGCTTAATTTAACGTCTTTAGCAGGACGTCTTCCGAGCTCTCAATAAGGATCATTCCCATTCATCCGACCCCTTCCTTGATCTTCTCTTAGCATCGCTACCGTCTTTTATCTTTTGAATTTTCTAACACGGGCAAGTGTTAAAGTCCGGCATTCATCATATGCTCGGAAAGTAATCTCACCAAGCTGCTAATGACGTTGTTGTAGTAACTGTTATCGAAATAGTTGGGGGTTATTGGGTCCATGGGGACCACCGAATTTTTTTGGGAATTATATTTTGGGCACTTTTTCCGCAGCTCGTCCGCGTAATCCGGGTCCATCCTCGTGTCCCGTTTCGAGTTCTTGTTGCTCTTGCTCTTGCTCTTGCTAAACCCATAGAGCCTCTTGCTGGAGTCGTAGAGCCTATTCTTGAAGGAGGTGCAGTGGGACAGCCCGATTGTGTGTGCGCCTATACAGCCAAAAATTATATCAATTTTAATTACGCATATATAATGCAAATGTAATTCCGAAAGAAATTCGTGCCTACGACAAGTACATAAATTTAATTAAAAAACTCTAATTTTGTTTTGTTTTTTTTTTCCCCAAATGATCATTGTTCCTTTTGTAATAATATTGGTACATAGCGTCAATCATTTTCGTAAAAGATGAAATGTAGTCAACTTTTTTTTGTAGGAATATGAAATATTGTCATTGTGCCATGTGAAATGACACAATTACCTTTACTCCCGTAAATCGTTTTTGGGGGAACCTGGGACTTCATAAATGGTTTACAGTTACTATTTCTGGAGTCCCGAATTCCCCAAAGAAGGTTTCTGATAGTAAGGATAATTGTGTCATTTCACATGGCAAGATGACTATGTTCCATTCAAATCAAGAATGTGTGTATATATATCTCATTTTGGAAAGTGAAAAGAAAAAAAAAATGCTAAAAAAAGCTGACCAGAAAGTGTGACCATATCTCTTTGTGATAGACCCTTACTTGTAAAGGACTTAGTAAGTTGATCCAAATTAAATGTTGGAGCCGGCAAGTTTTTTTGTGCCTCTTGGGCAATCGAGACTTTGCCGTCTAACCTCCCGCATGGCACTTCATAACCATCCCACCAATCAAGTTTCGCAGCCTGTGCAAAACGAGGAACAAAAAACCCCAAGAAATATATGAAATTTGTGCTCATCATGCATCAATACTCAATTGTATGACTTTAATAACTCGTGAAAATAAAATATTGAATTCCGGTTCAATTTCAAAACTGTCTGTGGCTGCAAAGGCAAGTACATCAGCACACGAGACAACGCTCGGGCATATCCTTTCGAGATCAGCCTTTATATCGTCTATGACGTCAAATCTCCTCAGGCTATTCACATTTGGCGTCGCATTTTTTTCGACCTTGTTACCGTCAGTCGAGTCTATCAGCACCGACGCATCACAGCCCTGACAAAATTTATTATCCTCCATGAATTTGAATTTGAATTTGAATTTGAAGTGAAAGTATTAACAAGAACACTAATAACTAATAATGCACTAGTGTTTGTAAGTATAATTTTATTTACCCTCACGAAACAATCGTGTAAATGCATACGCGTAAGTGCAGCAGGCACTCCACTGTCGTTTATAGTCGCTAATGCAACTCCGAATTTCACAAACACTACAAAAATTTGTTATATTCCAACGGAAAATCCTACGGTAATATATTCCAATGGAAATTCTAACGGATATTTCAATGGTATAGCTTCCATTGGAATCATTCCAATGGAAATTCCAATTGAAATATTCCGTTGGAATGTGTTTTTCATTGGAATTTTAGATGGAATTTGATGATTCCAACGGCTATATTTCCAACGGCTTTTTACCGTAGGAATTTCCGTTGGAATATGCAATTTCCGTTGGAATTTTTATTTTCACCCCCGTTGGAAAATCTACCGTTGGAATCGTCAAAATCCAACGGAATTCCAATAGAAAACTCATTCCAACGGAATATTTTTGTTGGAATTTCGTTGGAATTATTCCAACGGAAATAATAGCATTAAAATATCCGTTGGAATTTAATTAAAATATATTTCCGTTGAAATTTCACCATTTTCTTGTAGTGCAATAAATTCGGCCATAGGGCAACTTGATTGATAACAGTTTATATCTAGCTCATCTTGTGGTGATGGCGAGCTATGAACACACACACACAAAAGCAGTAACTGAATAACAACTTTCAATAACATCAGCTTATTATTAGAAGCCATTTTCAAATATATTAGAGCATCTCCAATGTGACTTTTGACATTATAAAAATTCATCCATATCATCAACTTTTGAAAGTTTGTTACAAATTTATTCTCCAATGCATCTTATCATAAACTCTTTCATGATGAGGTGGATAGCATTTAATGTTGACAATGTTGAACACACTTTCTAATATCTAACACCATGTTAAACATGATGACTAATTAATTCACTTTATATTTGATTTAATTTTTTTTTGTTTTTGTATTAATGATTATTTTAATTGGTCCACCTATACATATAACTTCTTATCAAATTGATGCATTGGAGATACTAATTTGATTCAAATTTCTACTCTTTTAACATTATTCCTACATGGGTTAACATTACAATCATTGATTGACATGTGTTAAAAATTATTGTCTTTCAAAGTTATAACATTGGAGATGCTCTTAGTGTTGAGTGCCTTCACTTCACCCCCAAAACGGGTATTTATATCAACAAATCAGAGTCGTGCCAACAAATGATGAGCTGACACGTGTCAATTTAATAATTATATTCTAAGATATGTACTTGTTTAATACAATTTTCACGGCGTGCCTAATTTTGATATTCGACTACATATATATATATATATGATGGCGCTCGATGCGTAGTTTTTGTATTTTCAAGCAAGAAGATGATTAAGGGCGTGTTTGTTTATGAAATATTTCATTCAAAATGAGTTATTTTAGTTAACTAGAGTTAATTTTGAAAAAGGTAGTATGGTTACTTGTTAGTGGAATTTTAATAATATATTAAAATAATATTTAAAGTAAAATGATTATTAATGATTTGATGTAAAAGTAGGATATAAATGATTGTAAATGATTGGAAATGATAAGTAATTAAAATTATGTGAGTGGAAGAATAGTGAATTAAAGTTGATGTGATATGTAAGAATGATTGGTTTATAATATTTAATTATATAAATATTATAAATGATAGTGGGGTTGAGTTAAAGTTGAGTTAGATTTTGAGTGTGAAATGAATTATTTCATAAACAAGCATGCCCTAAACGGCCCATGCTTATTGACTTTCAAACATACATAAATATCAGTGCTTGGATCATATGAGAGATTGATCTTTATTAATGCATATGTAAAATGTTATACTACCTCATATCTTTTTTTTAAATGTCATTTTGGCTTTATCAACAATTAACCAAATAAATGTCGTTATGGATCTTTTGTACATATATTTCCATTATTACCCTCATCTAGCTAATAAATGGTGTATTCAATTGGGATTTCTAGTGACATTTTGAGACTTTTTAAGATTTGAGAATTGTTAAGATTTTCAAATTTTGGAGAAATTCCGTGAAATCTTAAGTCTGAAGGTGGAATTTGAAGTAGGATTTCGTATAAGGTTTTTTGTCTAGAAATCCCACCAAATCTTTAAAAGTCTTAACAAATCCTAGTGCCAAATAAATTAAATACCTCAGAATTTTGGAAGACTTTTTAAAATCTCAATTGAATACCCCAAGATTTTTAAAAGTCTTAAAAAGTCTTAACAAATCTAAACTGAATACACCTAGATTTCTAAAGTCTTAAAAAGTCTTTAGAAATCTTAATTGAATACACCCTAGCTTTTTTCATATTCACTCATCATTTTTTTTCTCAAAACATTTATCTCTATCTTCATTAACGAGTGTTATTATTAAAAAAAAATTTCTTAATTACTGTACAATTTCTCAAAACGATACTTATTAAAAACGACACTTATTCTTAATTACCTCATGTAACTACAACAATTCACGTGGAAAAATGTTGCTCATTTTTGTTGAGTCTCAAGACTCTCAACTACATGCATCAAACAAAATGAGTCGTTCGAGTTCAACTCGATAATTGAGTTGTGCAGGATACGAGAATGAACAAAATGAGTCGTTGGAGTTCAACTCGATAATTGAGTTGTGCAGGATACGAGAATGATGGGCAATGAGACTTCCGGATATTTTGTGGGGCCTTCTTGAAGCAAGAAATTTTTTGTCTTTTGTTGTTTTCTAAAGTTGGTGTTTTCTCGAGGAGGCGTTCGTAATGATATTCCCTAAAGGAACATTCGTGTAGACTGTCTTCAAAATTCAAATGTCAACTATTGTTTTGTTCTTGTGATGAATTTTTT